GACCCATTCTCTATTCTTTCCTCTAAGGTCTTAACAATAAATTGGGTATGATCCTTACAATTTAAAGCATTGGGGAAATATGATGGGACTGGTTGATCTGCATTGTAAGATTTTCCTTTAAAATTACCCTTAAAATGTTTAAACATAGGAAAAATATCAACACCATTCTCAATCCAATCAAGAATAAATGAAGGAGTGCCTAATCGTTTCCATTCTGATACATTATGGGAGAAAGACTACCAGCTACAAAAGATTTTGGATCTCTGAAAACTAAATTACTGAAAACAAAATCATCCTGTGACAAAATATCCTCTGCTTCTGTTATATGGGATAAAGACTTGACTGTCTCTCCTTTGATATCAATCCAAACAACATTTCGCTTCCTAGCAGTAGCACCAATTGGATCAAATTTTGACTCTAATTCCCAATCCGGAATCTTAGGAAAAAACTTATGCCTCTTGAAATCAATTATCTCCTGAAAAATTAAAATAATAGCTATAAAATATGCAAAGGAGAGACATCAAATCTTTACCCGTTTGAGAAATAAATTCCCAATAAGGATTAAAATCCCCTGGGCAAAAAATTGATGTCTTACTGTCTACTTAATGAAAACATTACTTCTTAGAATTATTAACAAGTTTCGGGCAGCCAGAAACAAAATGCCCAAATTCCTTACAATAAAAACAAGTACCAGGACTAGATTGTTTCCCCTTCTTAACAGAAGCAGACCGCATTGGAGGTCTTGGACCATAATACCCTTGGTGCATAGGAGGATAAGGGTACATCATATGCTGATAAGGAACCTGATTTGGATAAACTGGACCAAAGCCAAAAGTAGGATAGGGACTACCCGATGAGGCTACGTTCTCTTTTTGCTTCAACCTACTTTTTTCAGATTCTTCGTACTTTTTAGATTTTGCCCAGTCAGCTACAACTGCTGCTATCTTTTTATCCTCCTGTGTCCCAAACAATTTTAAAACCAACCCACAAAAATCTTCGTTATCCTCATACCTTTTACAAATTGCATACGATTTGCTAAAGAGTGAAGCATCTTTGTGATTTGCCTTATTAGCTACTTCAATCAATGTTTCAATCGCTGCCATCAAAACATTATGTGATGTCAAATTTGGACGACTTGCTAGACTTCTAACACTTGACAGAGCATCATCTACCTGTAAGTCATCTCGTCTACTCTTCAACGCTTTAAGATCCTCTTTCATACTCTTAAGCTGATCCTCCAGTCCTTCTCCATCTTTCTTGCCAGCCATATCTACACAAAAGTCATATATACATTCAAACATGTATAAGAAAACCTGTTGACTTAATATAAAACCAGTTCTCAAATTAAATTCCTATTTATCACATAAACACGACAAAATCAGATAGATAAAGATATACCTTGAGAGTTACTACTCGAAGATCCCGAGGGTTGATCCCTTTGGGCAGTTACCGTACTACTTGAAGAGCCAGAAGCATTGTCACGTGAGGTAGAAGCAGTAGCAGTTGCCTCTAGTACCTGGCCCCTAGGAGCCCCAACCGTATTGGCATGTTCAATAGTATAACTCATGAGTATTCTTACAGTCTCAATATTATCCTCCTTTCCTGCCAACATCAGAATATCCTTGACTGACTCTCCTGTCAGTTTTTCAAACTCTGTTCTGAGTTCAACCAATGAGTAATCCTCTAAAGGATATCCTCTTTTCAACCTGTAAACACATAAAAATTCCTAATTTTTTTTTTTTTTTTTTTTTTTTTTTTTTTTTTAATGTATATCATGAAGGCATGCATTATAATATATTGCTCACCTGGCCAACGTCAAATCCTCCGAATTACCATCTGAAGCTTTCAACTTCAAAACTACTGGCACCAAACTTTTCCCAATTAAACTGTGCCTGGGTTTCAGCACCACAGCCATTCTTACTTCGCTCTAAAAACGTCAAAAATATAATATTTAAACATTCCCAATACTTAAAAAGATTTTTTTTTTTCTTACACTAATAAATATCACGAATTCTCAATATACATAGACTCACTGTACACTTAAACCAAACACGCACGAGATTTTACACCTTGTAATACCTCGTCACACGCCGGTGAACACCACTCGCCGGACAAAATTAGTTCACCGACAGGTATAAATAACACAGTCCAAACAAAATTTCAAGAATAGCAAACATGTATTCACAAATTTTACTATCAAAATCACTTATAATTGAGTCCGATGGAAAATGTCCAACAAAATCCCACATAATAAAATGCTCCTCGCATTCTACAGCTGTTTGAATTACGTTCATGTAACAACAGCTCACACATATCCAGATTAAAACCATGCAAATCAAATATAAAGAAAAATCCCATTATCTCTACATAAAATAACGGACCCCCGGTCCATTGAATCTTACTCTTAAAACTGTATGAACCTCCAAGGTTCCCGAAAGCAATTAAATTATCAATTTAAATTCACATTAAAAATGGACCCCCGGTCCACTAAAAACAACAGTTCTCGGCCGAACCTACCAACTGTTTCACCAAAATATATACTAGCACCAAGCTAGTATTACAAATAAAGTAAAATATACTTACATATGACGACGCTACAGCTAACAAAAACTGTTGGGCAGCGACGCAGAAAACTACGACTGCACGGACCGACAGCCGCCACTCGAGTGATTTAAATATAGTCACATCTCGCGAGACTTAACTTAGAATAATGTCAATATTGTTCCTGAACAAACTTGCGCTCTATAAATTTTAAAGCTAAAATTGTTAAAATTTTGTCCATTTTGTCCTCTTTCTGAAAAAGGATATAAAATCGGACTAGTTTGTGACGTCATAAAAACAAAAATTGTGAATACACAGCTTTGACACTATAATATTTTCTGTTAATTTATATTTCTCATACGATTTATTGAATTCAGCACATTTCAGGAAGTTTTCAAGATTTGACTTTTGTGGGGGCAAATATATGCAATATATCGCACATAGTTCTTTAAAAGCCAGAGCCTCATTCACTCAAAAATTATGGTCAAAAGTTATGGGCATGTTAAATTTTGGCGACCTGACAGTTATGTGTTTACGAATGATAACAGAGAGTCAGACAGCTAGATGGATAAACAGACAGACTAGAGGATAGGACAAAAGTTATATACCCCCATTTTTTTTACGGGGTATAAAAATGATAGTTATATAGGTACATGTATCTCTCGGTGTGTTTTTCTTTCAAAGTTGGAAGGGGGTCTATGGAAGAAATACCTTGAAAATTCCTCTCAACCACTAAGAGTGGAAATTTGTCTTTACGCGAATTATGGGTGAAAATATTATAAAGTTTGAATTTAAAAAATCGAAACTACGGACAATATTACCGCTAAAGCGACATGTCTTTAAATAAAGATACAGATATCACACTTTATGTTCAAGTTCTTGCATTGCAACAAAGCAACTAAGTGAATTAAAAATTATAAGAGGTTTGTTCTAAAAGTTCTGTCAATCTCTATTATACCATCTTCAAAATTATTAAATAACCACATATGTATTGTAACCCCAGATAAATCTTTGTAACTTCAAAATCATAGTTCCAGAAAAACTCTCCATATACTTTTCACAGGGTATGGTCGAATACCACTTCAACAATTTAGTCAATGTTTAATGCGAACACGTTACTGCGCCTTCACAAAATCGAAATATGAATCGTCTATTTTTATCGCTTACCTTCACCTTACTAACGTGATGAAGTTTAGAATGAGACCCTCACAGCAAAGGCACCACCCGTTTTAATTATGTTTCAAAATTACATCTACTATACTATAAACATAACAAGGCATATGAAACTATCCTCCATCTTGGTTCCCGCTTAGGGGCACTTTCTGACTGATCACGATAATTTCTCACCTAAATCGGACTTTTCTCATACATCGGAAGCTGTCATCTATTGATATAAAATCAGATCAGGTTGAATCTTGCCGCATATTCGTCGCATTTACGCGTTTTCTACATTTCTCTGCAAACCAGGACTCCTAGGCAGGAACTATATCAATTCAAAATGGTCGCCAAATTCATTTGAAATTATTTAAGGTGCCAGCCAAAAATGTTAGGCGCCATGAAGACTAAATTAGTCAATATAATTAAGAAATATTCCCAGATGAAGGAGCTTCATGTTTGTCCGAATCATGACCACCATCCTTGAAGAAGGGCTGAATCGAATTTTAACAAAGGAAAATGTAGGAAATATCTCTTAAAATATTCTCCTTAAGATCAGCCGAGGTGTTGTTTGTCATTAATACTGAAGCATCCTAAGAAAGTGTAGGTTCAAGTTTGTTCAAATCATGACCCCCTCGGATAGGCCACAGTGGGCAGTAGGTCTTATATAGGATAACATATTTGGATTTTTTTTAAATCTTCTTCCCTAGAACAACAAAGTCATGTTTAGCAGTCATATTACATGTAACAAGGAAAAATTCTCAGGTAGTGTACATGTAGATATAATTTGAAAAAAAACTACTTTTGATTTTCTTTTTAAATTAAAGAATAAAGAATAGGAAACTAGGTACAATGTATATGTTATCGCTTTTAGTTTCATTAATATGAGGGGTGGTGTACAGTTTGCTTCCTTGTGAAATAAAAATTCTAGATATTTTCTTCATTTTCTTTAATCTAGAATTTGATTGGTAAAAGCAGACAATGCTGTTTCAGGATGTAATATTTCAGATGCTATCTTTTTCCTCCAGACATGTGCTTTCATCCATTTTTCAAGAGTACCAACCAATTAAGTGCTTCAAAAGAAATTACTTAATTTCCGATGACTTTCCGTAGTAAGTGTTATCTGAGATTCTCATAAATCTTTATGCAGATTTTTTAGGGTATTGTAGTGTTGCCGATTGAAATTGTCTCTTTTTCCTGTGTCAGGTTTTTTGAAAACGCTAGTTGTATAATCTGCATACGAATATATAAATTGAAATGAAAATGAGATTTTTTATCGGACATCTAAGTATTTATCTAGCACAATGAAGTTACTGAGTCTTGGTGTTACTTTTCTTTTTATTACCTACTCGGGGGCTCTGTCATTGTTAACTGATAATGAAGACAGCAATTCTACAACATTAATCGACAAGGAAAATATAAACAACCTGAAGGTACTATGGCAGATGATTAATCAAGAGACTGTTATTCGTTTAGCCTTGGTCAAAAATGTTCACGTCTTAATGAATGACGTTGATTCTATCAAACAAAACCTTGTGTCATCTGACACCACCGTCACCAATTTGCAGCAGACGATACAAACATTGAAAACTCAGGTGGGCGCGTTACAACAGGAAAACAAAAGGCTTGCTGACGATAATATAAGATTTCAAAAACAAATTCAGGAATTTCAAGAAAAATTTACAAAAGTTGACGAAAACATTACAGATATTTATGAACACCAACAGGTCACGGAAATACGGAATGAAGAGAAGCGTCAAGCTATATTCAACAAAACTAATCATATTCTGGATGACGTCAAAATGGAGGTGAGATATCTATCTGTGACTCTTCTGGACTTCAAGGAAAGGACTGAAAAGGATACTAAAATTAAAGATGAAAACATTCAGAAGATCGAGAGACGCTTGAATTCAACTCTTGAATATGTAAATGCTAAATTTTTGAGAACGGAAGGAATTTTCGGGAACTTTTCTGCGTCATTAAAAGACATGGAATACTCTCAGTCTGAGACCAGCAGAAATCAAATGGGTAAAATTTTAATATTAATTCAAGCATATATTCGTAATTTTCATTGCATTCAGATGAATATTAATTTGTTATTTCATTATTTATATATGACTTGATCCCTTTGTAGAAAACTTCACCAACACAGTTTTAATGTT